TATCTGGATCTCCCAGCCTGTGTTGAGGGTGGCTGGTTCTTCTGTCTCAGTGTCCACTAGCCCTAGACTTTGTTGCTGCAGATTGATCCAGTGGGTACATAGGCTAATGACCGTGAGTCTTTTTCCTTGTTTAAAGGAGTCCCTTTTGCTGAAAGTAGATGATTACTATTGCTGTAATGTTAAGAAAATATTAAGTTTGTGCTGAACATCCATTGCCATTTGGTACAAATGACATTTGTTCTTTCTGTGAAAGAGAGATGCCCTTGAGTGTGTTTGCACACAATCTCTTAGGATGGCGAGTTGAAGCATCAACCTCACGCTGGCTCAGTGACAAGCAACGTCACAAGGACAGCTGTAGGGAGATTGGGCTCTTCTAAGTCATTCTTGTCAGTTGCTCCATTGGTGACATGACCCCTTTCCCTCTTCCCATTTCAGTCTAACTTTAGTGTTTGCTCTGATATCATGTGTTAAAGCTTGTACTGCTGTGGAAGTTAATGTCTGCTCTCCGTCAGGCTCTGCGAGGTACATGTGTGGACTTGGAGCATGCACACTTAGCGCCATAGTCAGTAATGGTTCACTGTGTTCAAACACATCTACATAGAGTTTTCATTTGGAAAAAGAAACCTACTAGTTTGATGTCCTAAAACAAAAGCTGCTAAAAATCATAGGGAAACCAACTGAGGAGGAAAGGTGACTAAGTGACTGAAACGTGCTTCTGCCCTGAACAGCCCACTTGACCGTGGGCCTGCACACAGCCCTTCTCTAGTTGCTTTGAAGGTGAAGCAAGGCCTTTGAGAGAAGAAATGGTTAGAAAAAACATTAAGCACTTTCTCTTTTTGCAAGTTGGTGAAAACGGATTCATCCAGGGAGCTTTATCTTTTCAAGTATCATATTCACTCTGGGAAACCATGTTTTAGAGCATGCTGGGTTTTATTTAAAACTGGTTAAAATAAATGTTATTTCCAGGTGGAAAATGACTTTTGGTTTGGTTTGAGGGTAAGAAAGGGAGGGGACACTGCTCTTTAATTTAATAATTACGTTCAGCCAATGATGAAGTATTTGATTATTAGACAAAAATATCACTAATAAGTTTTCAGTTGTCTGAAATTAATTGTAAACATCAGTACAGTACTCTTTAGTTATGGTAAAGACATCTTAAGATGAATGGCTCGTATTTTGGTGCAGTGTTTGATGTTCAAAACAAAATGTTACAACAATAAACAAACATAAACTCTGAGTGCATTTGACTCTTTCTTTCAAGGGACAGTTAAATCATATTCTCTATACTTTTGCCAGAAATTGATAATTTCCATAAATTAGCATTTTGATCTTTTCTGACACTTAGACGATGCGTCTATGTGCTTATTTTTAAAACCTGATTCCAGAAGTGAAGCTACACTCATAGGAACTAACCTCTCTTGCTTTGTAGGTTCTGCCAGGAAGTGATTCATTCATACATATGTAATTTCTCTTGTAGTCTGGCTGGTGGACATATCAGCCCTTTAGAGTCCCCTAGGAGTTCTACTCAGTCCTGAACACCCCACCTTTCATTAAACCCTTCCTCAGGATTTGCCACTTAGCAGTCCTGATGTTTTCATTAGATCAGGGGGAGTCAAAGTGATCTTTGACCAAAAGCCCACATCCCACAGATTAAATCCTTTTCATCCTCTCAGATTGCTGCAGGGCAGCACATGTTGGATCACGGGTCTCTCCATCAGTGAGCTTTCAATTATCAAAAAACTTGGTATTTAATTCCTCTTTACTATGATAAGAGGGCAGGGTGACAGGAACTATGAGTCTTTAGGGTATACTTTGGGACTGAAAATGAAGAACTCAGAGACTGCAGCATCTCAGATTATAATGAGTACAGAAATCTCCTAAGAGCTTGTTAAAGTGCAACAGGTTTGAGGGTACCCGAGAGTCTGCATTTCTGGTTAGCTCCCAAGCTAACAAGTCGAGCTTTATTGCTGGTCTGGAGATGTCATTTTACTCAGCAAGGGTTAAATCAGCCTTAGTATTTTACAGATAAAGAAGCTGAGGCCCACAGAAACTAATAGTTACTCCTTTGTAGGCATTCATTATATCATTTTGTGCTACTGTTGCTTTGTAAGAGCCTGTTAGCAGTTGGATGTCAGGTGCAGGCTGCATCTACCTGAAGCTGAAAATGTGGGCAGTCCAGTAGCAGAGCTGCAGTACTGATTTCTTCGTGGCACCATGAGGATGATTTGAAGAGCTACACAGTGTAACTGTTACACCAGTTAATTTCTTGTCGTTATTGCATTTTCCCAGGCCTCTTGAATTCTTCTTGGAATTCCACAGGACTTCTTGGGCAATAATTAGACCACTTGAATGCATGACCCTGTGCACCATATGTGCCTAGACTTTGATTTGGGTCAAATGCTAGTGCATTGAGCAAGGTAGCCAACTATTCTGAATTACAAAGGTAGAGTGGATTAGTAATCTGTTAAATATGTTCCCTAATATCAGGAGAGGGAGCATTTTTTAGTACAGGAAATCTTATTTCACACAAAGCTAACAAACTCAGGGAATTGATTATTTCTGAGCTGGTACAGATTCTGAGCAGCACTGTCACCCTTCTTGAAGGAGACAAGTAATTAGTCATCCTTCATGAAAAATGATGCATGGGGGGTTACTTCCTAACCTTTGAGGGTGAGATTGGAGAAAGCATACCTGTCATCTCTTCCTGTCAGTGACAGAACTCAGGTCAGGGACCAAAGAACTGGTATATTGGCATGTTTTGTAATTACTGATTTCCAGGTGGCAAAAACTTAAGTTAAAAAACAAAACAAACAAACAAACAAAAAAAACACATTACTAGAAGGCCAAGGAGTTCAAGGATAGAGCACTTGCCTAGCATGTATAAGGTACTGGGTTCTGTTCTTTCCCCAGCAAAAAAAAAAAACAGACACACATTCACACTCCAGGTCCCTTAAGTAAGGGGTCAGCGGACATCCTTCCCTAAGCTTAGAGGCCCAGCTCAATTGTGGTTCTGTCACATCCTACACCCAGTGGAGTTTGCATGTGTCCTTTTTTCCTTCCCATCTTAGGAAGGCATAAGAAAAACATGAATGTTTAGAAAATGGATATGGGCAAAGCCATTTTCAGATCTACAGGTATGGACTTAGTCATGTCTCTGACCACAGATACCCCTTTCAAACTGCAAATAATTTGTGGGAAACTATTTAAAATATGGTAGTCATTGGGAAAGCTAAGTAATGTTGCTAATCTAGAAATAATTTCAAATACAAAGTCCATTGATTTGCATTCTTTAATGAGGCCATTTGGTAGTGTTCCGTGAGGGGGGAAAGTGTTTCAGTTAAGACTTGAGTACCTGGACCTTTTTCTCTGTAACAACTCTGATTTCAGAAGTTATAACCTCAGCTGGGGGTGTCATGGCACACATTCCTAGTCCCAGCCAATCGGGAGGCTGATTGGGAGAGTGGCTTGTGCCCAGGAATTCAGAACCAACTTGGACGGCATAGCAAAAACCCCTTAAAATTTTTTCTTAAGTCATAACCACCTTAGGTTTGATTAAGCCCTAGGATTTGGTTTGTACCTCTCATGCACAGCTTCAAGGGTATTGACTTCTTGAAGGGCCATGCTCTGAAACTGCCCTACCCGCCACCACAGCCTTTGAGCTCTCTTGACCCTGTTGTTTTCCATCTGTATGAAAAGACAAGCTCTTCCCTTATAATCTTGCTGTTACATGTGGCAGGGTCTAGCTTTCATCTCATTTTATCTTGAAATAAATGCAGGCTCCTGCTATAATTATGCTGCTTTGCCTGTCTTGGATGCACAGAGCTGAAATGCATGTATTTTGGTAAATGAGTCAAGTTGCACTGAGGATGACTAAGTTGTGTGTGATGCACTAGAAGCAGCCTGTGGAAGAGTAGACAATGCAGTTGTTACCTACCTTCTTTCTGGTTCCTGCTTTTCCATTGAGTGTTTGTCTCCTTTGGCACTGAAGTCTTTAGAAGGGGAGTGTGAGGAAAGAGGGTGTAAGCATGTGTGCCAACTGGGTTTTCCTGAAAACACTCCACTGCTTTGGTTTTTTTTTTTTTTTCCATGAGTCATTTCTAGGATAGCCAAGGATACACTGACAGCTGCTTTTAGCCAATTCACCAGCTGCAGAAACAGGGGAGAGAACGGCCATTCTTCCTCCCTTTCCTGGACAGAGGTCTGAATTATAGTCAGCAGCAAACCTTGAGTGCTTGTTCACTTCTCCCCAGCTGCAGTAGGGGATGAGTGCACTGAAGTGTGCAGTGGCCACCCTGTAATTTTCTTTGCAAACAGGCCTTGAAACACAAGGCATTTTTATAGCTCAAGAGCCTCTTCTGCCAGCTCAGTGCAGGCCAAGGACACTAAAGCTCTTGTTTCTCTCGTGTGCACCTTCCCCTGGCTTACTTGACTGACGAACACATCTTCCCAACCTGGTTAGCGGAATCCGCACTGTGCTAAAGGGTCTGGTGTGCCTACAGGTTTCTGGGGCGCTAGTCAAGTATTACTGCGCCTGGGCCTAGAACAGTGTGTGCTTACTTTGGGAAGATGCCCACCTTCTCAGATGATCTCAGCTTTCAGAAGTGATCAGTTTTGTGTTGAGCCTCTTGTTGCTTAGGAACCTTAAAGAGTTCATAAGCTATGTCTTGCCAGTGATCTGTGCAGTGAAGCAATGAGGATTTGGTCTCAGCCTGGGACCAAATCTGCTGATTATATGTGAGTTTCCAGTCTTCTGTGGAAGAGCCCTTCTTTAGCTGTGGGATCATGGCGAACCCAGACTTCCAAGCACAGCTAGTCTGCCTTTACAAGCCAAAGATAAAACCCAGGCATACAGCCTGGTTGCTCATAGATAAGTTTTATAGTAGAGACTAATTTATGCAAGATCATTCTACAGCAATTAAAAAAAAAAAAGTCAATTGCCTTTCAGTTTGCTTTTTAGCAGTAACTCCCAATCCGTAAGGCACCAGACTTAGAGAAGTAACTCAAAGTGGTTTTACATATTTATTGACACTCCCTGTCTTTGCACTTCAGTTGTACATGTCATCTAAGGAGCCCAACAAGTTTCATAAATAGTGTGTGGCACATCCCCTTTTGCAGTGGGGCCAGGGCCCAGTAAGCAGGGATGAGTCCCAGGCCATGGCAGCTAGCCAGGTAGGGAACAACCCAAACTGAACTCTGGGTCCCTGTACGGGGTGGCATGGGCCACGTTAGCACTTCAGTGTTTAAACTTTTCTCCCGCGTGTAGTTTACGGAGGAGGAGACTGCTGGCTACCCACCACCACCACCGCGCTCCCCACCTTCAGCCAGCTGCCGTTCCTCTCTAGCAGCAAGGCACCACCCCGCGGCCCTGCCCTCTGGGAAGCAGTGTAAACCTCCACAGGTAGCACCAGGTGTGTTCCCCAGGAACCTTGACGCGGAGCTGGAGGCTGGGAAGATGCAAGAGGGGAGCCGGATTGCAGGCAAGGGGGCTTTCCAAGTCTTCCAGTTGTCCAGTTAGAGTGACAGAAAAATAGGTGAACTCCTCACTACCTGTCTGCAAACTCTTAAGGTGTGGTGGCCCAACAGCGAGGTAAGGCCTTTATCTTAGGGGCAGGTGGAAGGATGTATGCAGAAAACTCTAGATCAGTGCTCCAGTTACATACATAAACTGAATATATTAAAGCTTCAGAGTTTTTACAACTATCTCTCCCCTCTCCCTGGCCACCCTAGAGGTGGGAAAGGAAAGGATATAAGAAAACCCCACTAAAGGTGGAGTACATTTCATCAAAGTCTGTATGGGCCAACCTGCCCCCAGTCACCACCACATTGACACCGTCTCCGGCCTTCAAGTGCACAACAAGGTGGAAGGCCCCTGGGCCGCCGCAAGTGTGCACAGCCCCTGGGGGTCGGTGGTACTCCAGGAATTCTCTCTTGTACCCGGCTGTGTGCAGCTGGGCCACACTGGCATTGGAGACTGAGAGAACGGCTTCCACGTAGGCATCCCGCTCAGGGGTGAGAGTAGCTGTGATCAGGTAGCGCCCATCGTAAGGAGCTGTGAAGATCCCTAGGGGGAGGAAGGCAGACAGGTGAGCTCATGTGACTCCTTCAAGGCGTGTGATGCTGCTGCACAGTCTCCCATGAACTGATCAGAAACTTAAAAAAGCCTGGGGTACCTGGAGTTCTGTTTCTCCGAGTTCTGCAGGGGGCTTCTATGCCCTCACAACAGGGGATTCGCTGAATAGTGACCAGGTGGGCCAGTGTGAGGACAGTGGCTAAAAATTACCAAAAGGCAATCAAGTCCCTCTCCAATAGCTTACAAGCAGTGCCCCTCAGGAGCACCACGTCCACATCAAATAACTACTGCCAGTGGCACCAAGGCTGGTTGGAAAAGGACCACAACCTCACGCCACCTGCCCTGTGGGCTCTTCCCTGGCCTGGTTGGCTCAGGCATGCCAGGAAACCATGCTTCTCTTGGGATTGCCCAGTGGTCCAGACAGGCAAGCAAACCTGGGTGGACAGTGGTGGGCTGATGAGAAAGGCCCTTCCCTTCATACAGAGGAAAAGGAGATCCCCACGCAGGGTCCCATGGAGGAAAGGAAGGCGGATGGCGCTGTCAGGAAGCCTGAGGGGAGCTCCATCCCCACTATCCTCACAGGGTTCCCCAAAATAACCCAGGGCTGAGGGCATGGGGACAATGCAGGCACTGCAGACAGACTCTGAAGTATACATTTTTAAGTAATTCTGTTTACAGTATGAGACCCAAATGCCAGAATCCTCCCCTTCTGGAGAGAACACAGCCCCATTCTTAGCTCTGTTCATCATAAACAAGATTCTGGAGGAAGCCTATTGCTTGCCAAGTTCCAGGGGGGTTAGAGTGACTGTCAGATGTGGAGAAAGAGTGGTGGTGCTCCGTGGCCACTAGAGGACAGCTGGGAGGGAACTGGTCACAGTGCAATAGGCCAGGGCTGTCAGAGCGTTCTTAAGTACCATACAAAAATGAATGACCCTTCAGTGATGAGGGGCCAGCATGCTGACCTCATGACTAGAGAACGTGGCTGCTCACTCGCCTCCCACAGTACTGGGCAGAGCCGCACATGCCCAGGGTGAACTCCCTGACCCCACAGGAGTGGGAGCACCCCACCTGCACTGGGGTAAGAGGAGGCAGCACCACATTCCCTGCAAGTACTCACCAGTTTGGGGGTTATAAACATCCCCGTCATTTACCAGCACCTTGTTGAAGAGGACAACGCCACTGTCACTGGGGAAAGGCTTCTGGGTAAGCCCAGCAGAAAAAGACACCAGAGCAGGCCCTGGAACCCCTGCTGGAGGAGAGGGGATGTCAACACAATGACAGTTTCCAGGGAGGGGGGTCTATCTGGAGCAGGGACAGGTGTCAGGGCCAGAAAATCAGGCCTATGTCCCAGGACCATTTTATTCATCTGAAAGTGGCAAAGTACCCAAGTGCCAGAAGGTCACCCTCATCTGTGATCAGCAGTCAGCTAAGGAAGCCTGGGATTGGACTGGCTCTGGTTAGAAGGATGAGAGAGAGACTGTGTGTGTGTGTGTGTGTGTGTGTGTGTATACACGCGCGCATGTGTGCAAGACAGGTAGACTATGACCATGAGAGTGACTAACTGCATGTGTGAGGAAGACAGGTATACGCATGTGTAAAACTGCTTATAAGCTAGGGGCAGGTTCTGGGTGCATAGAAAGAATCATTTAGGGAGCTAGTTACTTATTAATGAGCCCATAAAGCCTGGGCCCCCAGGAAGCTCATCAGGACCACCCAGGGCACGGGCCCACCCAGTGATCCCCTTGGGAAACTGAGCTGGGATGATGTAGGGTGGAAAATTCCTTGTGTTGGAGCTGCCTTCGAGCCTCTCTGAAGGGTTCGGTCCACTGCAGTCAGCAGGGGCCTGCCCTGCTGCTGTGGGTGTGCAAGGGCCGGGCGGGCCCTAAGCTCCGCTCATGCTAACAGCCCAGGGAGGAAGCAGGAGTACAGAGCAGCGTAGAGGCTACAGAGGACCATCCTTTTTTCTGCCCTGTCTCTGAGCAGACGTACCTGGGGAGGCTACAGGAGGTGACTTGGGGTATCCTGAAACACAAGAGAAAGGAATGTCAAGACCTGAAACAGTAACTCATTTTGCTGAGTCCCTTTTTCCTCCCTGCCAACGTGTTCTACTTGATTCTCTATTACTAATGAAACAGACACAGCAAGGAAATCTATCCTGAGAGCTGCCCTCTCAGATCTGGAAGCACATTTGCACACTCCTGGCCCTGCTTCCTCACCAGCCTGCCTAGCCCTAGACAGGCCAGAGGGCCCTGAGAGCAAGCCAGCTGCAGGAATCCAAAGAGAAAGGTGGGGCGCTGGGGCCTTGGGGTCAGACCAGGGAGGCCTTCAACTGGACTGACTGCGTGGACAGCTGGGCAGGGGCCTGCAGACATGGATGGATTAAAAAACAGCCCAGCAGAATATAGTCACCCATGACACACGGAACTAATGGAAGACCAACATCTTAGAAAAGGCAACTGCGATCACTGTAGCTCAGGAGGCTGAGAAGGAACGGGGAAAAGGAGAGCTAGGGAGAGACTCAGCAGTGACCCAGGCAGCCACCATGTTTCGCTGGTCATGTGTGCACTAGGCCGTCACTAACAGGGACCAACCCCAACTCTGGCCATGATCAGGTGCCCCTGAAGGTCAGCCTGGTCCCAGAGGGGACCAGGAATGTCTATGGAAGCCGACATCATCTGCCCCCTCTGTTTCCTCACCTGTAACAGCCCCCAGGAGGGCTGGGGGCTGGAGACCTGGCACTGGGGAAGGAGCCCAGAATGCTCACTCCTTTTTTCTTCGTGCCTTAACTCTGACTACACCATCACCAGGACAGTAACAGCAGTGACACGACACGTGTGGCACGCTCCGCAGCCAAGTCCTTTGCTCTTTCATTCTCACCCTAATCCCCTGAGATTCTGTTGCCATCCTCCCTTGGCATTGAAGGAACTAAATTTTAGGGACACTGAATGCCAGGTCCCAGGACTGTGGCGAGGCTGCCTCCCACTCTGCTGTGCCCCTAATGGTCTTTGCCCCGAGCAGGCTCACTAAACTTGGTTTCTGGAGACCTCTCCTGCTGGGAAGCCCAGTGAGCTGCCCCTGTGGAACAGACAGTCCAACCCCTGAGATGATGACATTTCTAAGTATAATTTTCTTTGCTGTCCCTGGAGTGTCCCAGCCAACATTAGTTAGATTAGCATAAATCACCCCCCTCTGGTCCTTGACATTATTGCAAGCTTCTTTCTGAACCTGTCCCGCTAAATCTGGGACCCTAAACCCACTTGGGGCCAGGCAGCACACCCACCCCTGTACCCCAAGGCTCAGGTGATCTGCAGCCGTCCCCTGTGCCTTCTCTGTGATAGGCTCACCTGGTGCTCCTGCGTAGCCTTCTGCGCTGGGGATGGCCTCCTGTCCCGTCTGGCCATCCACACCCTGGGGCAGGCCCCTTCCTGACACGCCCATCCTTCCCGGAGGCCCAGCCTCTCCAGTCTCCATTAGGACCCCGGTGGAGCCAGGCAAGAAAGGCAGCCCTGTCCAGCCAGGTCGAGCTGGTGGGGGCAGTGGCTCTTCTGGGGGCCACAGCTGCGGGGGTCTCTTGGGCAGCACTGGCCGTTGGCCTGTGTGCAGTCGTCTTGCGGGGTCCTCCGGTGATGGCCGTGTTGGCTTGGGCTGTGGCAGTTCAGTGGGGGCTTCCGACGGCAAGGGCCTTGCAGGCACCTGTGGGGCCTTTGGGGCCAGGGGCTGGGGCGTTTCTGAGGGCTCCTCCGCTGAGCATTAAGAGAAAGAAACACAGGGTTAAAAAATCTCCAAGTCATTGCTGGTCTCAGGTCTGTGAGGGACTTTGCTTAGTCTCCAACACAAGCTAGTCTCAGGAGCATCAGCCACGTGGCTAGAGCATTGTCCCCACCAGGACATCCAAGACAGCACCACAGCTTGGGGCAGTTTGCCTCACATCTGAAGAAGCTACGGTTAAGCTGCCTTCAGGTCACCCTAAGAAGCCAGCTGGGACCCTCTGCCCAACACAAAAGGATTTCTGCCTCTCCTGTGCAGACAGAGGCACTCTCCAAAATGGCATCCTGCTTGTTCGTTTAGGTAAACGAACAGATTTCACTCCATGCTTATGCCATGAGGTATCACAGGTTACAAATTAAAGGAACCTGAACCCACTGGCCACCTTAGTCTCCAACACAAGCTAGTCTCAGGGTCAGCTGATTGTTGAGGAACTCTGCTGTGGTGACCCCACATCTATCCCCAGCCAGTGATCTATGCATATTTCAGGGAACCCCTCTCTGCAGTTGACATAGATCCAAAGGAGCAGGCATGCCCACTTGTCTCACCACACCCTGTGGATTACCAGTGGAAGGAATTTCCCACAGAGGAACCTCCTGATTCACATTTCTCTTTTTGAGATGGTCACTGTGACTCATCCAGAAGCTGCCGCCCATTTCTTCTCCAAATACATTCTCAGAACCAACCTTCCAGGAACCCATTCCCGAGCACCCCTCTAAAAATAACCAGTCTGACTGAGATTCCATTTGCAAAGGGAAAACAAACACCCACCTCCTCTGTTTGGTCCTGCGATGCCCCAGGTTCCAAAGCTGCATAATCACAGCTGGGCAACAGTGATTGTGTTGTGGCCCAGTGTCTAGAGTGAGCATTCTCTAAGGTAAATATGGCAGATCAAATGCATGCTCCCCTCCACCCACAGCCAGGTTCCCAGACCACCCCTAGAGAGGTTATTTCTCAAACAGCCTTTCCTAACCCATGTTTCATGTTGAGAATTAAGCCCTACAGAAAACGATTTGATCATTGTCTCTGTTCTCCCAAGGATGGTACTGAGCTAATTCCATTCTATGTACCAAAAAGTTCACTCATTACATACAACAGAATGGCTTCTGTCACTGAGAAGGTCTGGGTGTGATAGAAAAACCAAGGCACGGGCTGGGGCTGTAGCTCAGAGGTAGAGCGCCCGCCTTGCACATATGAGGCACTGGGTTCGATCCTCAGCACCACATAAAAATAAAGATATTGTGTCCAACTCCAATTAAAAAAAAATTCAAAAAAAAAAAAAACAACACTGAGGCAGAAGGAGTATAGACATGGGGACACTGGTATAAAAGCACTAAGTCAAAGTATATACACTGAATAGACCCCTTCTCCTGCTCAGCCCTGAAGACACTTGCTCATACCTCTGATCAGTTCTTCAGAATTGCCCCTGAAATGGAATCTAGTCATGAAACCCTATTTAGAGTTCACTGTTAAAGATGAACCAAGTAAGGGTCACCTGGAATTTGAGGAAAGCCACCAGTATGAAACAGAACAAAACAAGCTATCTAAACAACTAGTGAAACGGAACTCGCCTAGCACGTGTGAGGCACTGGGTTCCATCCTCAGAGCCACATAAAAATAAATAAATAAACAAAATAAAGGTATTGTGTCCATCCACAACTAAAATATAAATTAAAAGAAATAAGAATATGATGAGCCTTTGCAGATTAGAATTATGTTTGCCAAAATAAGAAAGTCTGATAAAAGGGTTGATAGACAAAATCAAGGAAATCTTTCAGAAGGTAGAACAAAATGATGGACAGGAGGAGGAAACCATAAGAAAATTATCACGTGGTGGTGGGGGCCTGGGGTTGTGGCTCAGTGGTAGAGTGCTTGCCTAGCACGCGCAAGGCACTGGGTTCGATCCTCAGCACCACATAAATGTAAAATAAAGATATTCTGTCCTCCTGAAACTTAAGAATAAACATTAAAAAAAAAGAAAAGAAAATTATCGGATAGTCTTTCTAGAAAAAGATCAGAAAAACTGTAGAGTAGGGGTGGGGGGGTGGTAAGGAGAGAATGAATTTCCCAGAACTGAAGAAAATTAAAGATCCTAGCATCATTGTTGAATAAAAAGTCTAAGTGCTATGGTTTGAATGTCCCATACAAAACTCAGGTTGAACTTAATCCCCAATGCAACAGGGGTGGAGGTGGGGCACAGCGCCAGGTGTTCAGGTCATCGGGTTCTCAACCTTACAGCAGGTGAATGTGATGGGAGTGAGTTATCTCCAGAGCAGGTTGTTATAAAGTGAGCTTATCCCCTTTGTGATTCTCTCATTCCCATGAGTTTGCTTGCCTCTTTGCCCTTTGAACATTGAGGCCCTCACCAGATGCCAGTATCATGTCCTAGGACATCCCACCTCCAGATTTGTGAGAAATCTCTTCTTTATACATTACCCAGTCTCTGGTATTCTATTATGGCAACACAAGAAGACTAAAACACCACAGCATATTCAGAACACTGAAGATAAAGAAAAGATACTTCGGGCTGGGCTGTAGCTAAGTAGTAGAGTGCCAGCCTTGCACATATGAGGCACTGGGTTTGAGCCTCAGCACCACAAAAGCAATAAATAAAGATATTGTGTCCACCTACAACTAAAAAAATATTAAAAAAGAAAAGAAAAGATACCACAAACTTTCAAAAGAAAACACATAAAAAGTACAAACCACAAGGGCATCATCAAGCTCTTCAACAACACTGTGGAAAACCAGAAGTTAAAAGGACAATGCCTTCAAATATTGAAGGAACATAATTATTAACTTTAAATTCTATACCTAGCCAAAATACCCATCAATCATGAGAGCAAAATAAAGACATTTTGGGTTGAGGTTGTGGCTCAGTGGTAGAGCCTAGCACGTGTGAGGCACTGAGTTTGATTCTCAGCACCACATTTAAAAAATAAATAAATAAAGGTATTGTGTCCATCTACGACTAAAATAAGTAAATAAATGAAGACATTTTCAGAAACGCAATAGTTTAAAAGAAAACAGAACAAAACCCCTCAAAAGCGCCCTTTTCTTTAAAAGCTATTCCAAGTTCAAAGTATTAGACAAAAGGGGAATGAAGGGAAGGGAGGAGGGATAGGAATAGGAAAGGCAGTGGAATGGATCTGACATAATGAATCTGACATGCACATATATGCATAGACCAGAGTGAATCTCACCATCGTGCACAACCACAAGACTGGAATCCTAAGTAGAATAAGATATATTCCATGCTTGTATAAATATATCAAAATAAATTCTATTGTCATATATAACTACAAAAAAAAGTTTAAAAATACTAAAAAAGAAAAAAAAACAATTGAAACTATTTTCCACTGAAATAAAGGAGTCAGCCATGAAAAAGAGTCAGAAAGAGGGTCTCACACCAAAAAAAAAGGTGCAAGCTGTTTCTTGAAGAACAACTAGTGAAAGCAGTTTCAGATTGAAAGCCTTAGAGTCAATCTAGAAAAATGACGGACCCAGATTGGATCAGAAAGAATTCCAGAAATGAGGTTTCCAATTTTTTTAAAAAAACGGAATTGGCCAAATGGCCTGATAAGTTTTATGGCAGATAAAATTATACTGAGAGGCTGTTGGGAGAATGGGAAGAATCCAAAATAGATATATAAAATCTAAGCAAGTACTGACTGCTAACTCGGAAAAGCAGTTAAAGAATGCAATGTGACCATGGGGAGCTATGGTGCTCCTAATAGCATAAATATTGAAAATTGATTTATGGTAGTATAACCACTTTGGAGTTGGGAGGAGAGGAAGCCAATATAAAATGTCTAAAGTTGATAAGTCAATTTAGAAGTAAAGAGGTAAATATCAAGGGGGGCAGGGAGGAACACCTGGAAAAGTCGTAGAAGGGAAATGGGGTGTGGGGGGTTAGGTTTCAGTATCAGCTTCTCAGTGCTATTTTACCTCTTCATATAAAATTTAATTGTAGGAGACACTCACAAGGGCCAGTTTCCACTCTTTCGCCTCCAACTCAAGCATGCTTGAGTGTGTTCCTTGTCTGTCTTCTTTGCTCCCCTCATTTGCCACCGCCTGCCCCCAGCTCAGCAGCTGCCTTCCTCCCCGGCACACACACTTCCACCCCAGCCCCGAGCCCCAACACCTCCCTTCTCTTCTTGGATTTGCTCCAACCAACATTGCTCCTCTCTTTTCAATCATTTTTCCTTCCTCCATTCTGGTTCCTTCCTGGCTCTTTAGCCCAAGTTTATGTACCTCCATCCAAATTTTTAAAATACCTTTTCCTCAGTCCTACAACCCTGAATGAATTGCGATCAGCAAAATATCTTAAAATAGCTAAGCACGGCCAAGTGTGGTGGTGCACGCCTGTAACCTCTGCAGCTCCGGAGGCTGAGGCAAGGGGATTGCAAATTCGAGGCCAGCCTCAGCAACTCAGTAGATCCTGTCTCAAACTAAAAAATAAAACGGGAGGGGGATGTAGCTCAGTGGTGAAGCCCCTCTGGGTTCAATCCCCAGTACCAAAAATTTAAAAACAAATAAATTAAAAACAAATGGCAAAGTACAGGCCCCTCAGATGGGTCCTCATTCACCAAATCTCCTAATCAGTATTCTATCAGAAATCCGCCATGGCTCTCCCCATCTCCCCTTCTAGTCCTCCATCTCCTGACACTGAGTCCCTCACCTCCTTTGGCAATAGCTACCTCGCTGGTGCCCAGCTCTCATCTGCCTTTTCCTGGCTTTATGTGTTTCCTTCTGCTGTGAACTCCCCCCTAAAATAGCCTCTTCCAGCCCCCAAGCCTGAAATCCTAGTTCAAATACCACTTCCTCCATGAAGCCCTCTTGGATCTGCGCAGCAAGCCCTGAGCAAGCTTCTCTCTGAACCAGCAAAAATTGGGGCCTCCAGAGACTGTTGATTTTGTGTATTTTTCTTCTCCGGCTGTCTGGTGATTATACATCTTAATTATCTTTCATCCCCAGG